TGTATATTTGAAAGTTGCTGAGAGTAAATCTTAGAAGTTCTCATCATAAGAAAAAAAGATTGTATCTACGCGTAGTGATGGATGTTACCTAGATGTCTTTCTTGTCGTGATCATTTCACAATATATACAAATATCAAATCATTATGTTGTACACCTGAAACTAGTATAATGTTATATGTCAACTACACCTCAATTTAAAAAAAAAAAACAGAATGCTCTGGCATATTTCGAAATGGTTCCTCTCCTCTTCCTCCTACTGAAAACATAAGGGGACTGTTCTCTGATACTCACTATGAGGACCTGGTATAGCTCCTTGAGATAAAACTCCCAAAAGAGTGTGGGGCCTCATATAACCAGTTCCCCTTGGGGTTTTATCTCCCAGACTCGTCCACGTAGAGCCTCTGGCAATTCGTCAACCACATTTTGGTTTTCCTGTCCTGGTACTGGGCCTTGCAGAGGACCGCTTGTGAAATTCTGCTCAGGGAAGTTGTGATTCTCTGTATCTGCCTGTTTGTCTCTGCTATTTGGAGGGCAACAGTTTTCCCTGTGGCCTCAGCTTTCTGACAGATCCACAAGTTGTTGATTTTTTCTGTTTGTTCAGCCTTAAAAAGCCATTGTTAGGACAAAGTGAACACTTCTGAGCTATTTACCAGAATCCAGAAGTCTTGATGTAATATATTAATTACCTCCCCCAGTTGTTTAGTCTGGGTGTTAATTTAGAGTCCAGAGTCTCTTTCTGCTCCATTGAGCTGTTCAGACGGTTCAATGATCAGCATCCTCTCCCTCTCACTAGAGGTATTGTTTTACGTAGATTTTCTGTACAAATCATTCCCTGACAGGCTGAGGACACATAGAAACCTCTAGCCCAAGCTCACTGCTCGCTCTTCCCCTCAACAGCTTCCAATCCCTGAGACCAGCACGTATATCATCTGGATCCAAATAAAGTGGATAGGATGCCTCCTGGTTCTCCTTCCAATCCACACGTATCCTTGTCCTGGCTCCTCTACTCTCTCTAATTTTTTTTTCATCACCATATCTGGCTTTGGTATCAACAATTCAGAGAAAATAGAAAAAGGGACCACACTTCATCCCTACCCCCATTTCCACCATAGGTGCTTCCATGTGCAACTTTTATTGTGAAGACAAGATCGGTTAGAGAAAGGAGAAGGGCAGGTTCTGTGCAATTCTAAAATTTGTTCTATTTCTACCATTCCGTACTGTAAGGAGTAACGTAGACTAAAGTAAGGGCTTTACTTTACTCAAAACACGTGCTCTCCTAAAATTCAGTATAAATTCCTCATCTGAATTATGGAACGACAATAATAAAAGAATTTACTTTATCTTTTGTGTCACCAGCTGTGCCATCTTCTTTCTCACAGATAGGACAAAGGCACCGGCACAAAGATCACAGGCAAGGCCACTCTGTAGAACGGTGGACATTCTTTCTACGTAAACTGATTCTGAGTGAGGATAAAAATTTCCTGACCAGCTTCCCCACCCTCAAGCTATGGATTTTAAACAATGCCAAAAGAATTTAAGGGCCACCGTGTTGAGGATCTTTGTCTAGTTTGTTCACTGATGTATCTAGAGGACCTAAAACAATGTACATTTGAGTGCTTTTATAAATATTCATAGAATGACTGAGTGAAGGGCAGAGAGGACCTTGGTTTAACATACCAAAACTTGGAGGCAGTGTTCTGGAGATACAGCTCAAAGAAGCACTCTAACAATGCAAAGTTGAAAAATCCATTTTAATGTTCATTTGATGTTTGACGGTTGACAGTTTTGACTCCCTTTCTCTTTCTGCTCAACATCTGGGCAATCTGATAAGAAAGGCTGGTGCTCCCTCCATCGGCAACAACAGGAACTTACAATCACACAAGCTGCATCTCATTCAAATGGGAACTCTCATCGCAGCCCCGCCCCCTAACCACCAAAGAACCCCAAGCTGGTAATTCCTGCCTGCCGTGTTCTTGCACCTGCTCAGGACCCTGCCCTGTCCCCCAGAAGAAGTCTCATTATGAGAATAACAGCCCTTCCATACCCTCTTAGTGCATAGTCTTCACAGCTGAACCCAATTTTGAATGGTGGGAGTGGGGATGCCCCCCATGTCAGTGGAGTGTCTACATCTTTGATGATTAGTTTTTTTATCCTAAAAAAAGAACGTTAATTCCGTAATATATGCATGTTTAAAGTAAATCCTTCAAAATAAATTTTGAGTGCTTAAATAATTGCTTCAAAAGTTTTCCAAAAGTACTTTTACTGAAATTGACACCTCAGGAAGATGAATAACATTTACGCCATGGCTTCACCTATTCCTGACATACAGTTGTTTGAGCAATGAGTGTTTTGGTTCAGAGATATAGATTCAGTCCCATTCCATTAAGTTAGAAATGAAGGAAATTGATGCAGAGAAAAGAAAGGGAAATTTTTAAGGTTACACAGTCAGCCAGAATAGAGCTCGTATGATTCCAAAATGTCAAATACTCCCAAAATCTAGTTTATTATTTTATTTTCATATATCTAACACAACATCTACTGCAATCAAGGAGTTTCTATAAGTTATTCAGAAGCATAATCAAACATAAACAGCAATTACAAATTGCTATCTTTTGGGTTTGGGGGGCTGCTTCATCTTTTTATTGTGGTTAAACTTATATGACATAAAATGTACTCTTTTAACTATTTTTAAGTGTACATTTCTGTACACTCGGCATTAAGTATATTCACATTGTCTGGCAACTATCACCATCATCCATCTCCAGAACGTTTGCATTTTCCCAAACTAAGACTCCGTACTCATCAAACACTAACTCCCTATTTCCTTCTTTCCCCAGACACTGGCGACCACCATTTTGCTTTCTGTGTCTATGTATACAAATTGCTATCCTAGGAATTAAAAATATAGAGACAAAGGGAGACTGTCGAGCAAACAGCTACAAAAAGCAGCGAGCATCTTTTTTGCCTACCTGTTGGCCATTTGTATCTGTTGCCTGGGAAAATGTCTATTCAAGCCCTCTGACCATTTTTTAATTGAATTGTTTGGTTTTTTGCTCTTGAGTTATATGAGTTCCTTATATATTCTGCATATTAATCCCTTATCAGATAGATGGTTAGCAAATATTTTCTCCCATCCCATAGGTTGCATTTTCATTTTGTGACTGCTTCTTTTGCTGTACAGAAGCTTTTTAGTTCGACGTAGTCCCACTTGCTTATTTTTTGCTTTTGTTGCTTGCTCTTTTGGTGTGATAGCCAAAAAATCATTGGTGAGACCAACGTCAAGGAGTTTCTCTCCTATATTTTCTTGTAGGAATTTTACAGTATCAGATCTTCTATTTAAGTCTTTGATCCATTTTGAGTTACTTTTTGTGAATGGTGTAAGATAGGGGTCCAACGCCTTTCTTTTGCTTGTGAATATACAGTTTTCCCAACACCATTTATTGAAAAGACTATTTTTTCCCATTGAGTATTCTTGGCTCCTTTGTCAAATATTAGTTGACGATATATGCACGGGTTTATTTCTGGGCGCTCTGTCCTGTTCCATTGGTCTATATGTGTTTTTATGCCAGAAAAAGAACTACAGACTATTCCCAAGGAGTTTTTCTTGTAACTGCAGTAATATGTCTAGAGATCTTCAGAATACTCTTCTTACAGCCCAGACTTGAATTAAAGTCTACTGGCTTGGTTGAAATAAGATGCAATGACAGACCATTGTAATTTGGCCACTGGTGAGAGAAGAGCGAGGCTAACTCTGCACTCGTGGCCATGAGTCAGACGTCAGTACTCCGTCACCCCTAATCCAGTCCCTGCACAGGGGAGGCCCCGCTGAGATTGCATAATATAGGACCTATGGAGAAGTCACCAAGAAAAAGACCAACTTTCACGGTTTATGTTGTCACGGAATTGGTTCTTGGCTTTTTGTGGCTTTACAGATTTATTTATTTATAACTAACATCATGAATATATATGAACATGTATGTAAAAATGTATACAGGGCCAGCCCTGTGGCCGAGTGGTTAAGTTTGCGTGTTCCACTTCAGTGGCCCAGGGTTTCGCCAGTTTGGATCCTGGGCGCAGACCGAGCACAGCTCATCAAGCCGTACTGAGGTGGCATCCTACATAGCAGAGCCAGAAGGACCTATAACTAGAATACAGCTATGTACTGGGGGACTTTGGGGAGAAGAAGAAAAAAAAAAAAGATTGGCAACAGATGTTAGCTCAGGTGCCAATGTTTGGAAAAAACAAATAAAAATATATACAATTTTTCTTTTTTTTTGAGGAAGATTAGACCTGAGCTAACTGCTGCCAAGCCTCCTCTTTTTGCTGAGGAAGACTGGCCCTGAACTAATATCCATGCCCATCTTCCTCTACTTTATATGTGGGACGCCTACCACAGCATGGCTTGCCAAGTAATGCCACGTCCACACCCAGGATCCAAACTGGCGAACCCGGGCTGCAGAAGCAGAATGTGCAAACTTAACCGCTGTGCCACTGGGTCAGCCCCAAAAATATATAAAATTCAACTTCAATTAATTTATTATTTAATTAATTAATTTAAGTAAATAGCTGGGTAACTTTGGCATATTATTTAATTTCTTATCCCTTAATATCTTCATCTATCTGTACTATATCGCCACGTGGCTGATTTGATTTAATGAGTTAATGTAAGTCTTAAACACAGTTCCCAGCACATAATAGGTGCCATGTAAATGTCAGCTATCATTACAATTATTACTCTGTTGAATATCACAGGTAGTACATAAAAAATCTCTGTTTATATACATCTTCTCCAGATAGGAGCTTCTGGAGGATAAGACTCATTCATTCAACAGATTTCCTGAGACATACCTTGTACCCTGAGCTGGACCAGACAGCAGGGTGACAATGATGAACAAGACGCAGATCACGTCTTCGTGATCCTGTACACGCGTTGATTAGCATGGTCTCTGGCAAACAGCAGAAGCTCAAAAGAGTGCGACCTCATCATTAAGTAGCTGAAAATATAGAAAAACAAATTATATTGAAAAGATGATTTATGCCCCTATAAGAATGTTGACAGGGGAAATGTAAAACCTTAAATATGTATACCAAGGGATCTGCTTGTCGAAAAGTAAGTCTGGTTTGCAACTAACTACAAAATGTCTTTAAAGCACCTTTGAGAAGCTGAAGCACTCTGTGTATAATGCGGATAGTGAGAATTAAAATAACAAGACTATGAAACTGACATTTATGGATCCCTAATATACATGAGGCACACTACTGAGAGCTTTTCACTAGTATTTGCTTTATAGATAAATGACCTCATTTAATCCTATTGAAGAAAAAATAAGATAGGGAATAAGACGGGGATTATCAGTACTATTTTTAAAAGAATAAAATTGAAAATCAGTAAGTTAAGTGACAGATCTGCCAGTAGGTGGCAGAGGTGTGTGTGATTCAAACCAAGATCTGCTCAGAAATGGCGCACAGGTGGTTAAAACCTTGCACTTTTTGTCATTCTACACAAACTTCCTTAGGGTACAAACTTAAAGAATTACTTGTTTAAGGGTCAAAATCAATGAGATTACATATCCGTAGAAAAAACCTGACTTGCAATTTTTTATCTGTCCTTCCCAATGAGCTGTGTCTAACGATTAATTGTTCATCACTTTTTAAATGCTTAACATGTAAAACATTTTAACTCTAATTTGAAGATCTCAGAAACTTTAGTTCAATTAACTCACAGGTTAATTTTTTTTTATGATGTTGAGTGCTGGAACAAAATACATTTGAGTAAGAGAGGAGGAAAGCAGAACGTTTAGTTACCTCTAAGAAGACCAGCTGAAGCCTTTCAGAAGTAGTACTTTTAACAGAGTAAATAGGTGTGAATTATCGTCAGCTTTTAAAACTAAGTTTCAGATTTAAGAAAATGAAGACGAGGGGAAATTTTCAGCTTCAAAGGGTGATAGGATATTTCCATGGAACAATTATTTTATTCAGTATCATAATAGGTGCAGGTATATTTCTGGCTCCTAAAGGGGTATTAAAATACTCCTCGCTCAATGTGGGGGTCTCCCTAAGTATTTGGGCTGCCTGTGCTGTCGTGTCTATGGTGGCTGCTCTGAGTCATGCAGAACTGGGGACCACTTTCCCTAGAAGTGGAGCACAGTATTATTTCCTCAAGAGATCTCTTGGACCCCTTATTTCTTTCTCCTATATCTGGGTCAATCTATTTGCTTCCCCGGCAGGAACTGCTGCACGGAGCTTGCTACTAGCAGGCTATATCATACACCCTTTCTATCCTGGATGTTCTGTTCCTGAGATGCCAAAGAAATGTTTAGCGTTGGCCATTGTATGGTGTTTGGGAATTCTGAATGCTCGAGGAGTAAAAGAAGTGACCTGGTTTCAGACTCTCAGTACCGTTGTGAAGATGGCAGTGCTCTGCTTCATCTCTCTAACTGGAATCGTGCTGTTGGTGAGGGGTAGAAAGGAGAACCTAGCTAGATTTGAGAAAGCGTTCGATGCTGAAGTTCCAGATGCCTCGCAGATTGCAGAAGCCTTCTTACAAGGATTATATGCATATTCAGGCTGGGGAGTCCTTGTTCGGATAGCAGGTAAAATTAATTTGTAAATTATAAAAACCACCACTAGGCTATAAACACATAACATTCAAGCATCTTAATTCTAAGAAAAAAAGTACTACATTGTTTTGAGATGATGTGTTTCTGTCTTAGTTTATCGGATAGGTGGAAACACAGTAAACCCTATACAAAGGTGGCTTTCCAACTTTGGAAAGCGAAATATTTTCTAGACGTTCACAATTAAAACAAGTGAATACAAAAATGGTGCAGCTTAAAGATTCCATAGTAATTCCACTTTTTTTTATTGAGCAAACATTTTAATAGTCTATTTTTCCTAATTATAACTGAGTCTTATCAGAGAAAATTTTAAATACAGAAAACATAAATTAAAATAAAGATTATTCGCATGTTCATACATGTGGGGATCACACGGCACATACACTCTAATAACTTTATTTTACTTAAAGTGCAGAGTGAGAATTCACAAATATTATTGAATCTGAATGGTTTTTAATGAGCACACAGTATTGTATCATATGAAACTTGACTGTTACTTAAACATTTTCCCATTGTTAGATCCAGAGTGGTCTCTAGTTTTTCACTTTTAAGTTTTATACTTATTGTTGCAATCAGCATCCTTCTGTTAAATCTTTGTGGATTTCTCATTGCTTTATTAGAAAAAAATCTTGAAATAAAATTACTAAGTGCAGCATATAAATATTTAGAAATGTGTTGAGAAATTGCCTTCCAGAAAGGCTCTACAAATATATCTAATAGTGTGAATTAAAATGACTACACTTGGCATTATTATACTTTTATCATTCTTTTGTCATTAGACTTGTGGGAATCAAACCTCAGTGTTATAACTCACTTTTTCTTTGATTACTAATGGGAAAAACAAGTTTTGCAATTGTTTATGACCATTTATAGTTCTTTCTTGTAAGAATACAGGCAAATATTTTTCCCAGTTTGCTTTGTTCAGAAGATTTTTAAGACTATAATTTTAATACCTGTAGTATCAAACTATCAATTTTCTTACTTGAAAAGTCTTTCCCCATTGCAAGATTTAGATAAATATACAAGTATGCTTCTTTCTCTAAATCTTTATGGTCTTACTTTTTACATTTTACTCTTTAATACACATGAATTATTTTGAGGGAGTCGTATAGTGTGAGATAATAATCTAACTTTGTATTTTCCAAATAGTTAAACACCTGTGTCAGCTTTGGGGTTGGTAATACACACTCAAATTTAATCCAGGTTTTATCTAATCTAGAGACTTAACCCAAAGAGTGAAGGGAGCAGGGACTCTACGCTAACGTCATAGAATACTGTGGCCAGGTTAACAGGCCAGTTGTTCTGATCCTTCGCTAACACGTAATTACAATTCTACAGTGTTGGCCACGAGACAGGGGCAGGCTCCCTCCAGTTCTCCTGGCCTGTGGTTCAGGGTTTCTGAGCTGTTCTCGTCTCATCCAAGAGGCTTGTGTTGCGTATCTCAGAGATACAACATCGAAACCCCAGAATTTAACGCAAATCTGTTGCTAATAGAATCAGTAATTCACCCAGCATGTGGTAATAACATTCAACAAAAATGAGCTCTTTCTGTCTGCAGAGTCATTTCCTTTTCTTATTATATATTATATTGAAACCACTTTCAAATGTTATATACTTAGTCATTTTTTATGTTATGGTTTTTTTGTGGTGTTTTTTGGCAGGAGAGCTGAAAAACCCTGGTGAGAATATCCCCAAATGTGTGATTACTGCACTCACCCTGGTGGCTCTGATCTACTTATTGGTTAACATTTCCTACCTAGCAGTCTTGACTCCAAAGGAAATCATGTCCTCAGGTACGGCTACCCAGAACCAGAGGGAAGACACTCTCTGTCCCATTCTTGTGGAGAAAGGGGGTCTCTAATATAAGGTGGATATTTCGCATACCTTAAGAGATTATGCTAAATTGGTTCATGTCTAGATTATTTATTTATTTGTTTAAAGTTAGAAGTTTGAAAGGTCAAGCAATCTTTAATTTTGAGCATATATTAAAGTCTAGCAGTAGAAATATGGAAAGCACCAAGAACTGGAAAAGGAAAAAAGGCAGAACATGATATTTTAAATTGAATAAAATAGAATCAAAAATACGAGAATATTTACCTAACCCTTAGGATGTACTCCTTAAGGACATCGTGAGTGCTTTGGGTTAATATCTGCCCCCATAAATATATGGCATACACCTTGTCTCTAGGCATATCCCCCAAATCTATAGGAGATATAGGGCTGGAGTGCTTATCTTTTCCTATTACTGGATGTATAAATCCTTCTGCAATATATTTCTATAAGTATACAATTTTAATATACCATAAAAATTATTCAGGGTCTGGCCTGGTGGCGCAGTGGTTAAGTTCGCATGCTCCACTTCAGCAGCCCAGGGATCGCTGGTTCGGATCCCAGGTGAGGACCTACACACCACTCAAGCCATGCTGTGATGGGCGTCCCACATATAAAGTAGAGGAAGATGTTAGCTCAGGGCCAGTCTTCCTTGGCAAAAAAAGAGGAGGATTGGTGGCAGATGTTAGCTCAGGGCTAATCCTCCTCAAAAAAAAGATTTATTCAGATTTTCAAAATTAATTCTACTTATAGGTAAAGAGACCACGTTTTTCCCCTAAAAATAGGCAAATTGGAAAATCCTCAATTCTCAATTGAACTTAGCAAATCTAGACAAATAAATAAATAAAGTATATATGTTTTAAATTCTACATTTCTAGTTGTCACTGGGCCTTAAAGGTAAAGAAAATCAGTAATAGGCTCTCATTATAAAGAAAAAGAATAAAAAGAAAATAAGGTTTTATACCACATCCAAGCTTGCTACTCCTTGGTTATCTCAACTCTAAAATGAGATAAGAACATATTATTCACTCGTCTCACACATTAGCAATGATAATCAAATGTGAAAATATGCATGAAGGCACTCTGGAACTCCTAAAGCAAACAAATATTCTGCTATGAAAAGTGCATGGCCTGATGAAAACAGCCATATATTTGGAATGAAGTCACCTAATTGCAAATATTGCCTTTCAGATTTGGCAGCTTTGTGCATTCGGTAAAGATTCAAGGCTCTTAGTTTCAAGTGTCATGTCAGTAAAATGGGGAGAAAAATTGTTACCCTTCATTTGCATAGGATAACTAAATAAGAGTAAGAAAAATCACTTTAGAGAATTTACAATCAAGTTATGGGACTGATAGTACTGAAATGCAAGAGACAAAAATGCTCTGCAGTGGTCCTAAATATCCAAAAGGGAGCAACATTTTTCACCTAAATTAGCCCTTTGAGGTGAGGAAATAAGACCCGTGACTTCACAGACTTGACAGAGGAGAAAAATAGCAAACAGCCACATTCATAAAAATTTTAGATAAGACATGCTTATATTAGTAGACTCAATCAGAGGCAAAGAGTGAAAACTCCACAGAACTGTCTGTGTAATACAGTAAATTCAGTAAGAAACAGACAGAGGAAGCCCACATCTTTGCTAGCTTGAGTTTGCAGTCCACTTTGGAGCTATCATCAAACCAGCCCATTTTCAATGAGGATGCCCTTGAAATTAGAGTATTAGAGAGGAGCTAGATCAACTCTTCACATCCCTGGCTGACTGGGGAACAGCACACAATTGCAGAGAAGACTAGGAGAGTCAGGCAGTAAGTAAAAACCAAGATGACTTGAAAACTGGCTGAAATTTGAATGTGTTTCTCAACACACACACACACACATCAATTGCGAGAGGATAGAAGCGTTATGGACCTGAGGTGTTTTGACACAACTTCTGTTCAAATAATTGACTAACCACTAAGCTGCATGGCCATGGTAGCAACCCCTAGGGATACAAATGAAAAATTAAAACTAAGAATCAAAATCTGAGCGGATATATCAGTAGCTTCACATCATGAGGGAGACAACATTTTTCAGTTGAAGTGCAGGCAACTTAAAAAAAAAAACACCCCAAAGCCCTCAAAAAATACATGAAGAAATAATGGCTTGAAAACTCCAAAAATTGTTGGAAAACATTAATAAACAGATCCAAAAAACTCTATGACCCCACAATAAACACAAAGAGAATGAAATCTAGGCATAGCAAAGCCAAACTGTGAAAGCCAAAGAAAAGAGAAAGAGAAAGCAGTAAGAGAAAAAACACTCACTACGTATAGGGAACAGGCAATATAATTAACAATTGACTTATGAAAAAAGATGGAGCCCAAAAAGCAGTGGAATAACAGAAAGTGCTGAAAGGAAAAAAAACTTGTCAAACAAGAATTTGATATCCAGTGAAACTATCCTTCAGAAACGAAGGCAAAAAAACACACTACCAGATAAACAAAAACAGAGAACTCGTTGCTAGCAGACAGGCTCTGTAAAAAATATTAAAGGGAATTCTTTAGGCTGAAAGAAAGTAACCTGAATCAAGAGGAAGAAAGAGTGCCAGAAACAGTAAATATGTGCGTAGATATAAAAGACTCTGTATGTGTGCATACACATTTCTTTTTCTGTTAAATTTAAAAAAAAATACTTAACATTATTTAAGGCAGTAATTCTGAAACTGAAGTGTAGGCTTTATAAAATATACAGATGTAGTATATACGACAATAATGATACAAAAGAGAGGGGAAAACGAGCTATATTGGAACAAAGTTGCTATATTGTACTAGAATTAAGGAAAAAATAGCTTGAAATTGATTTTGATGAATTGAAAGGTGCATATTGTAATTATTAGAACAATCACTAAGACAATAACTCAAAAAATACAGATTAAAAAAACAACAGAGGAATTAAAATGACTTGTTAAAAATGTCTAAAGAAGGCAGTCAAGGAAGAATAGAGGAACAAAGAAGATATGACATTAAAAATAGCAAAGGACAGATGTAAATACAACAATACAGATTGTCAGGCTAGATAAAATCATCAATCGAATTATATGCTATCTAAATGAGACACACTTTAGATTCAAAACCATAATTAAGTTTAAAGTAAAAGAATGGAAAAAGATATACAAGCAAACATTAATTGTAAGAAAGCTAGAACAGTGATATTAACAAGACGAAATAACTCTAAGACAAAAAAATGACTAGAGACAAAGAAAGGCTTTTCATAATGATAAAAGGGTCAATGTATGAAGAAAATGTAACTATTACAAATATATACACACCTAATAACACAGCCAGAAAAGACATGAAGCCAAACTAAGATAACTGAAATGAGAAATAGGCAATTCAATAATTATAGTTAAAGATGTCAGTCCATCACTCAATAACTAGATAGAAAATCAGTAAGAATATAGAAGTTCTGAATAGCACTATCAATCATATTGATCTAATCAACATTTATAGAACATACCACCAAACAGAAGGAAAATACACATTTATTTCAAGCACATATGGAACATTCTCTAGGATAGACAAAATAGTAGGATATAAGACAAGTCTCAAAAAATTTAAGATTTATATCATTCAGAATATTTTTCAGGGCCGGCCTTGTGGCATAGTGGTTAAGTTCGGCGCATTCCACTTTGGTGGCCCAGGCTCATGGGTTCAGATCCTGGGCGCGGACCTACACCACTCATCAAGCTATGCTGTGGTGTCAACCCACATACAAAATAGTGGAAGATTGGCACAGATGTTAGCTCAGGGCAAGTCTTCCTCAAGCAAAAAAATAAAAAAAAGAGGAGATTGGCAATCAATGTTAGTGCAGGGCCAATCTTTCTCACCAAAAAAACACAAAATTTCTCTAACCACAATGGAATCACAATAGAAATCAACAACAGAATATAATTTGGGAAGTCCCACATATTTGAAAATTAAACAACATGCTTCTAAATAAACCATGGACCAAAGAAGGAATCACAAGACTCTTAAGAACCATGAAGAGTCTGAGATTTAACCCTAACTGTAAACTTATAAGTTAGGCTGGCATAGTTTCAGGGATGCTGGCAATGGAGACAAAGAAAATTTATTATTCATAGCAGTGGCAGTGCTAAAATATCATTTTTATTCTGGTTCCCCAAACCTCAATGCCCCTAAGATGAAGGAAAGAAGGCCAGGGGATACTTGCACATGACAGTAGAGGAATCTCAGGCTTAGGGAATTCAAATCTCTTATAATGAGCAGTAAGTATTCCTTCAAGAAGAAGGTCCTGGGAATGGCTCTGAAAGATAAAAGATTATTACTGTCCTCCTATCCTCGTATTTTCCAGAGTCTAAGATGTTCTCTCCTGGGAACCCACAATGACCACTATATGAGGACTCAGCAAACAGTGTACTCAACCAAGGGGTCCTTATTCTTACAATCTAAAACATGTCAGTCCAACAAGAGAATCCAAGTGCAAGAACTAGAATTAATTTTGAATCCCCCTTGTCCAAGCTGCCATCCAAAGGCTACACTGACCAGGCGGGCTTGGGGTTTCTGTGTGAAGAAAGGAAGAAGCATGATAACCAGTAACAATCAGAAAAGATTCCTGAGTTTTCGGAACAGGTCTATATAACTCCTTATCCCACTCTTCCTGATCATTGCCCAGGAAGCAGCCAAAAGTGAATGATCATTTTCTAGGGATGGTTATATTCAGTGACCAAACTACTTGACTAAGGTGTGTGGACCAGAAAACTTAAAGGAGGTCGAGTCAGAAATATTTCTGTGTTGATTTTTGAGGAAGCCAACAAAATACTAAACAATATCAGATGTCTTCAAATGGTAGGAAATACGGAGAATCCATTGAATATCCTTGCCTTCAGCACTTTGTTGAGTAGTTGTCATGATAAAAACGTGCACAGTTGTTAGATTTTGAATGGTCAAACGCATAACACAGATCAGCTTCAGGGGCCACAGTGATGTGGCCAGATGAGCTAATTGAACTGGAACAGTAACACTGTAACCTGAAAAATTTGCCAACGGCTATGAGATGTCACTCCCAAGAGAGGGTCAAAAGCACAATACAGTCAATCTGCCAGGAGTGAGCAGGGGTAACATCCTGAGCAAGTAGCCTTCCTCACAGTGAGACAAATGGTCAAATTTTGGCAGAAGTCATATTCTGGCATTTGGTGTTAGCCTCTATCTCAAAAATACAGTCTTTTTTTTTTTTTTATGTCCACTATATGATGGTAATTATGTTGCCATGTCTGGTAAGACGATGAATTCAGGTATCAATCATGATGATCTGGATAGTGCTATATCAATCAACAGCTTGATTTCATTGATTCTTATCAGTGAAGGGGCTCTGTAGACAGAACTTAAGGTTATTCTCATAGCCCTGGCCAATTCTCTTGATGAACCTTGCTATAATTCTACTGATGGGTTGTTGTCAATAGCCTGGATGTTTGGTCTGTCATTTGTAAAATATAGACTGGAAGATTAAAGACACCCTTCTTTGGGGCCATGCTATGGAAAAATATCGTGGCTGCTGATTAAACCATTTGCTGGTTGGTGACTCATGTCCACTAAGTAGAATATTCTCGTCTGTGTTCAGTTCTGCATAGCTGGTGCTTAGACTGAACAGCTGTAACAACCTAGTGGACACTATAGGGTTTCAGTTTAGTCAGACCATCAGTGGACCATGTCCAGACATCTGAGGGAACTCTTGTGAATAGAGAGCCCCCATTGAACCAGCACTTATGCTTCAGTTGGCAAATAAGTATGTAGCTGACACTTTTTCACGCAAAGCCAAGATGCCACTGGGCCAAACCAGCTACATTCTTGAATATTCCATTTCCATTTGAAAAGAGAGAATTGGGCTCTTCACATTTGTTAATAGTTGAGTCTGAGTTCATTCACCTCAAAATGAGAATACTAGGCCAGTGAGTCACAAGGCCTCCAGGAATCAGGTGTTCAGTTTGACAACATTCAGTAGCAAACTAATCATTGTTTTTCAAACGGTCGCCAGAGGTTACAATACAAAAAAAAAAAAAAAAAAAAAAAATCATCAATCCCAGAGACTTCTAGGTCAAAGGAGTAATTATGGTTGTGGATCCCCAAAGGTAGGCAGTGTGCCCCAGCTTGCTGGACGGCTTCCAATATACCCTGTTGATTTGTTCTCCACTCAAAGGACAGTGATCTGTGAGTTACTGGATACAGAAGACTAAGCAGAATGCCCAAGTGAGACACATACTATCTACAATACACAAAGAATCCATAAGATGCCAGGTCCCCTTTTAGTAGTAGGCAATCAGAGATGGTAGATTTTTTCTTGACTGCCAGAGGGATTGAGTGTCTTGAATCCACCTACATACTCCCAAGAAACTTTACTTGGCAAACAGTGCCCTGAGTCTTGTTGAGATTCATCAGCCTATTAGTGGAGGTGTGATATTACCAACTCAGGTCTGTTGACAATGAGGCTTCTGACGTGCCAACCCAACAGGACATGAACTATACAGAGTATCAGAGGGCAGAGACACTCTTGTAAAATCCTGACCACCAACAGGAGGCAAATAGCAGGGGAGCTTCAGAATCCCTAAGGGAATACTGGAAAGTTTATCAAAGGCCTTGCCACATGAATGTGAATGAGTCTTGGTCTTCAGGTGCCAGTGGGATAGAAAAGTGTTAGCGGTATCCAAGACAGTTTACCAAGTGGCATTAAACTATACAATGATTCTAGTTATAGTCACAATGTGTGGAACAACTAGGGCTATAGGACCAACAATTGAATCCAGTTGGCAATAATCCCCATAAACCTCCAGCTCCCAGCAGCTTTTGTCACTGGCCCTACAGTAACAGTTGTATTGAGAAATTGCAACGTTTGCTACCCCTGTTGCCTTTAAGTCCTTCGGCAAGTTTGTGATCTTTCTTCTACTGAGATCCTACATTATTTCATAGGAGGGAGAACGAGATGGTTTGGGGAGGAACTTACACGTCCCACTAGAACTCTACATGCATCTCTCCCTGAACAGGAGAATCGTCTCTGGACTTTTTGATCACTTGTAGTACAAGCGTGTAAAACATCAATACTAATAGTACGTTCAACAGTAGAAACCACAAAAATATAGTACATTGAAAGGCCCAAAGGGCTTTATCCACCATGGAACTTCTGTGGATAGAGACTTCCTTTCCCCACTGTGAATTCTACCTAAACCCCATTAGCTGACTCTAGCCCTCACCCGACAGGACTGTGTTTGTTGATGACTTGGGAAGTTGTATCTAACGAGCCTCCACAAAGTTTCCCAGCATACTCAGGTGGGTATAGGCTTCAGGGCAGGGAGACCTCAGTCACATCCCTAACCATTTTTCTCCTCAAGATAGCTGAGGTTAAGGAAGAGGGGGATAGGGGCCATGGAGAAAGAGAGAGTATCTTTGTGCCATCAAGTAAGATAGCTTTTTTTCTCTCGGGTTAACAAAACTGCCTCCAGAAGAAACAGAATATCTAAACAGATCCAAATTAAGGAAACATATTGAATTTGCAATTGGCTCAACATCCAAGAATCAATTAATGTTTTACTATATTAATATAATAAAGGACAAAAATCACATTATAATGCTAAAAGACTCATAAAAAGCATTTGACAAAATCCAACACTCATTCATAATTTTAAAAAACACTCTCGAAAAATACAGGGGTGTAAGAAAGTTTCCTCATTTTGATAAGGCGCAGCTGCAAAAACCTCGTTACCAGCCTTTGTCTTTGCTACAACTATAATTTAAAATATTTTTAATTAATTAATTAAAAAGTTCAATGGAGTATAAATTTTACATTAGTTATACCATTAGTGGCTTTTCTAATTTTTTTTTTTTTTTTTACAGATGCTGTTGCTGTCACCTGGATGGATAAAGTAATCCCTTCTATGCAATGGGCTATTTCCATTGGTGTTTCTTCCTCAATATTTAGCTCCCTTAATTGTACTGTATTTTCATCATCAAGGGTACTGTACGTTGCAAGTCAGGAGGGTCAGCTACCATTGATCCTCTCAACTCTTAACGTCCACTCCTGTCCAGTGGTCGCTGTGCTTCAGATGACCATTCTTGCCTCCTTTATAATTATTCCCTCAGACTTAATCCTTTTAGTAAACTATGTGGGATTCATAGACTGGCTCCAACTTGGGCTAATGATGACGGGTTTACTTAAACTGAGATTCCAGGAGCCCGACCTACCCAGACCTTATAAGGTAATTTGAACCACCAAAAGAAAATATCCCCTTTATCTTTCTAAAGAGCATTTTCTACTCTTAATACCTTGTTATTATATCTAGACGTAAAATCTCCAGCCCATTATGAGACCATTTTAGGAACATTTGATCTAGAATATGAATTTTCTATTTCTTGGTCCATAAGCTTCTTGGGCCATTTTCAACTTGAAATCTCAGAAGAGAAAGTGCGAGACTGGTCCTTATTAGAAAAAGGAGAAGACCTTTAAGATCTTTTTACATTACGGCAAATACAACCAGTGAAATTTGAGCCAAAAGGGACCATATGTGGGGTACATAAGGTTTGCACTAGATCCCAGTAGAACAGACTGCCAGTGTCCAGGACCAATGATTATTTGAGTGTCCTCTTACTGGTGCATCCTCAGATTATCTTCTAGAGGCTCTAGGCTTGCCTAGGATTCCTCAGGCTCCTCAACTCAAATGCCATCAAGGTATAAGCTTCCACCATTGATGGTCAGTATAGAAGGGCTACATTCTAGATAGTTGTGAAGGAGTGTAATTTCAACCTGCTCATCTTTCAAAAGCTTACATCAGAGGCAGAATATCTGTGGAGGGTTTCCTGAGAGCTAAGATTCTGTTGATTCCTCAAACCACTAAAATCTCTCTCTTCATTAGCTATCTGAAATGCTTCATGTAAGCCCGTGGAATATATTTTTTTTCTTCTGATTGTCTACTCTACCCCATCCACCTATACTATGGATTTAACCAAAATATTATGTTTAACCAAAGAACCTCTGGCAGCTCATTCTTGTACTTCTTGCAGGGAGATTGTTAAGAGATACATTTCTACATTATGCAACAGTTTCTCTATATGTAGATCCACTGAAGAAAATTCTTTCTAATATTTGTATCAGGAATGCTTGTGTTTCTAGGCAGTTTATTTAGTTTTGTTTACAGATAACTGACCTTAGTAAGTGCCTGCCTCCCTTTTCATAGAGGCTGCTAGAACGCTTAAAGCTAAATTAGTTGTTAGCCACTAGCTTGTAAATAGGCTTAGGAAGCACACCTTGCTATATACCAGTCATTATTGTTAGGTCGATGAGTTTTTTTTAATGAGGTAGGTTTCAGACAAACCTGATTTTGTCAATAAAGCATATTCTACCAGCAATCAAGGGGCCCCTTTTATGATGTCCCTTGTATCAGACAAACCTGATTTTGTCAATAAAGCATATTCTACCAGCAATCAAGGGGCCCCTTTTATGATGTCCCTTGTATCAGACAAACCTGATTTTGTCAATAAAGCATATTCTACCAGCAATCAAGGGGCCCCTTTTATGATGTCCCTTGTATCAGACAAAAGGAGGTGGCAGAACATCCTCGTGAAGACCTCAGCGCGCAAAGGTGCAGGCGTGAACTAGCAGGCTGAAAGGAGAGCAACACGCTCTACGGCTGAGATCTTCAAACTTCACTGAGACAAGAACAACTTTGGGATTCCTTTCATGAATTCAGATTCCTGGAATTCACCCTTAAGAATTCTAATTCTTAGGGTGAGGACCAGAAATACACATTTCAAAATTGAAAAAAGTGAAAGATAGTGATAATCTTGCATCTGAGTCATTCAATGATTCAATAAATATGCACTAAGTGACTACTGTGTGGAAGATATTAGTCTAAACATTTTAAAGATATGTAGATGAATTGGCCATTAATAATGCCATCAACAACTTTATAGTCTAACAGGCAAGAGAAGAGAGTTACACAAAATAGAGTAATACAGGCAATAATCAATAATATTTAATTGAGCATTTATGGCTGGCAGATGCTGTGTACACGTTCTTTAATTACATACATGATTATATACACACACACACACACACACACACACACATACACACATATATATGTATATGTTCTTTAATTGTCCAAACTACTTTGAAAGACAGACAGACATTAAGACCCATTTTAAGGGAAAAATGAAGATAGAGAAAGTGAATCCAAACCCAGTGGTCCTTTTATGCTAAAAATGTGCCAAAAAGAAATTATATATAGGTAATACATTAGGTTGTGTATAGATAATATATTAGTTTAAGGTGCAGAAAATACTAATTTTGACATTGTCTGCTTAAAGATAGAAAAGTTAGAAAACTTATAATGAAAAAATGCTTTACGCTAAGAGTATGGAATGTTTCAGAATGTCTTCATCCAAGAGATCTGAGTGAGCAAGTGGCATGGACTGACAAAAGGATCAGGGGCTCAGCAAAATGAGGAAATTATTAAGCGAAAGCCTTCAGTTCTGCTATTCCACACCCCTATCGAGATTCCCAGCAAATTACCGTCTCTTATATAAAACTGATAAATATTTTTTATCCTTTAAACCAACCTCCTCGGTATTAAACAAATATTTCTAGATAAAAATGTTTTACATTATTATT